TTCTGGAGATGGATGGTGGTGACGGTTGCACAGCAATGTGAATGTACTTAATGAATGCCTCTGAATTGTAAACCTAAAAATCATGAAAATGGTAAATTTCATGGTATATATATTTTACCACAGTTGAACAAAAAAATAAGAAGGTCTAGATATTGTCAGATGCACCAATCTGGGCTCTGAGAACACACCCAACTCCTGAAGGTAGGGGACTGGCCTTCATGACCTCCTTCTGAGTGTCATTTCTAATAGCTCTGACCTCTCACAAGCTTCCAAGTGGCCAGGTCAAGAATGTCAAAGAAATCACCCTCCTTTCCCCTTCAGACACAAGCTCCAGGCTCCAGATGGGAAGAGGACAGAGGGCGAGGCTCCCAACGGGCCTAAATGTTGCAATGCGGGGATGGGGTGGAGGGAGTGAGAGGGAGTTACCCCTCCAGGCATTAGGACAGCTAGAGCTTCCTTCTTGGCCTGGAACCCTGCCCCAGCTCACCCCAGGGTCTTGAGCTCTTCTATGCCCCAGGGGACCACCCCTAGCAGGCTCACAGGGAAGTGTAGCTGTGTCCCACCAGGGGGAACAGGGCCGAAGGTTGGGGGCCTGTCCCCAGGCTTGTGGCTGAGCTAGGAAGCAGGGGAGCAGGGGCATGAAGGGGATCCTAGGTCTCAGACCCTTCTGTAGGCTGAAGTCAGTGGCAGGAACTGAGCTGTGAAGTCCTCAGGGAAAACTCTCCCCTCTGGCCCAGCCAGTCAACAAGGGCTGGATCCTGGGAATATGCTAATCAGCCAGGGAGCAGGTCCCAGTTGGGGACAGCACATCTGGAGCCTGGAGCAGCATGGTTGGAAATAGACTGCGACAAACATACAGGAGTCTCCTAGGGCCAGGGAGCCAAGGCAGAGGAAGGGGGGGGGCATCCTGGCTGAGGGGTTCCTGGGCTGTGCAGGGGCGGGGCAGCAAGGAGGAAGCAGACAGTGGGGGTGGCCTGGCTGGAGAAGTTGGAGGTCTGGTGAGGGAAGGGAGGGCTCAGAAATGCACCAAGCTGGTGGGATCTTCTACTAAATTTGCAGTGACAAAGGGCTGACCCCTAAGAGTCACAGGCTGACATCCAGGTCTCCCCCTGCCCCGTTCACTCATTTGCCCAGCAGCTGACCAAGCACCACCAAGCTGGGATCAAGATTCCGAATCTGGAGCCTTTGCTCAACCACTAATGAGCTGTGTGACTGGGGCTATGTCACTCACCCTTTCTGGTCTCAGCTTCCTTCTCCCCTCAAAACAGGGTTGGATGAAATGCCCTCCAGGATTCCTTCTGGTGTTCATTCCTTCAACCTCCCTCTTACTTGCACTGCTCAAAACCCCTCCAGCTCAGGGCAGACGGGCTCTTTAATTTCCTGGGACACTCCCTGTGCCTTCCTGCCTCCCTCCCTGCTCTGGGCCACTGGGCCCTTCCCCCAGAATGCCCACCCCACTGCTTTCCGCTGATCCAGAGCCTGCCCACCTTGCTAGAATAGCAGAGCCTTAAAATGGCAGTTAATGCGCTGGCCATTATGTAAATGATTTTTATAAAGTACTTCTGACAATGTAACAAGAAAGGTAATTATAAAGACTACATTCAGACCTAGAAAAAAGGGGGTTTATGGTAATGCTACCTGAAAATAGAAAAAAAAGACAAAATACGCACCATCATTAAACCCATATAGAAATCTGTATACCTGAGGAAGGGAAAAAGCACAAAATAAGTTGGCTGTTTCAGAGGAGTGGCAGTAGGGATGGTCAGTGATTATGTTTCAAGTCTCATTATTATTATTGCAATTCTCTTTCTAATATAAACACTGCTTTTGGAATTTAAAAAACCCAGTGCTCTCAAATCCCTCACTCCACCTCCTCCCGGAAGCCTCCCTAACTCCAGCCCACAATGATCTCTCCTCCTTTGAATTCCTGCAGCACGAGTTTCCATCTCATTATGCAGGGAATGGTGGGAGGCTTGCCCTGGAGAGGGCAAGGCAGGGGCTCTGGAGACTCCTGGCTCTCCTACCCTCTGGCTGCCTGGCCTTGGGCAGGTTCCTTAACCCTTTCGTGCCTCAGCTTTCTCATCTTTAAAACTGTGATAACTTTCCTACCCCGCAGGGTACTGTGAAGATCCCCCGGGGTAACAGCTGTGAGCATTAGCCCAGTGCGGGCTCACGGAAAGCTCTCTGATGTGATCACCCCCACCCCCATCAGCAGCCGCAGCGTCGTCACCACCATCTCCAGCATCGTTATTGGCACCTTGCCTTGTTCCCTAGTAGCGCGGCATATATCGATACTCTTGTCTTTCCAATCTGGCAGTAGATTCCCTGAGGCCAGGCCCCTGCACCTCAGAGCAGCCAGTCCGTAAGGGGCACACTGCAGAAGCAGAGGAAGTCCCCCTTCCCTGACTCCTTTCCACGCACACTCATTCTGCTTCCTTGCAGGTACACCAGGCAGAAACGTCCCCTGCCGGGAGCTAAGAAAACTCCAGACAAAGGCTGGAGGTGCCACAAGAGGCCAACCCAGAGAGGGAGACTCATTTTGGAGCAAATGCCTGGAGCTTAGGAGATGGGATCCCTCGCTGTTCTCTAGATGGGCTGAGGCAGGACAGGCTTAGAAAGAAGTGGGAGCAACAGGAGTGGGCCTTTCTTTCAGGCCACCTGAACATCCCCAAGGACTTGGCCCCTACTGTGAGGCCACCTTTAGCTCCATCCTTGGCGCCTGCTGAAGGGGAACAGGACCGAGTACCAGAGGCTGGTTCCGATTCCCTTCCTTGGACACGAGGTGGGAGTGAGCTGTGGGAACAGACACCGTTCTGTGGCTCCGTGGGGTTCAGTGCAGTCTCTCCAACCCAGCCCGGTCATCCTGGGTGGCTCCGAGGGTAGTCCCAGGGTGAGAGGACTTTACAAGGCATGGCACACCCCTGGTGGGGACAGCCCGCCCTCTGATCCACAGGAAGGAGGGCCAGACAGCTCCACACCTGAGGACAAGGCCTGGGCCTTGGGGAGTTGAGGGCTGGGAAACTTCACAGCCCTCCAGAAGACGCTGTCTCTGAACTGGAGGCTCACAGGCCCAGGTCAGCTGGCAGCAGGAAGGTTTGTGTTTCTTTTAATATCAACTCCCAGGCATTTAACATTCCTCGAAGCTTAAACACAGAAACATTTTCCTTACCAGACTGTGCTTTCTGCTTTGCCAAACATAACCTGGCTTCCTCCCCTTCCCCCACCGCCTCCATCTGCTCCCGTCTCCAAGATGTAATGATTTATGGTGTGTTTCCCCTGGGGCCCGTGCAGCTGACAGCGGTGAGAAGGAGGGAAGCAACAGGGCTGCAAGTCCAGGTGGGGACAATGCCTTCGAGCCCTGGAATCTGGGTGCTGGGGGGTTGGCGCCCACGGTGCTTACTGAGCTGGCTGCCCAGGACACCCTTTTGAACTCTTCCATTCTGCAGCCACTAAATGACCCGGGTGCGTGGCCACCGGTCACGCTTCTTGGCTGGGTATCTCCCGGGGCTGGACGGGCCGGGGATGTGCAGATGGGGCCCCCATCCTCATCCCTGCAGAAAGTAGCTTCCCGGGACTGAATCTAGAGCTCACTCTCATCAGCTCCCATTTCCTAAATAATGAAGGACCAGCTCATGGTTGCCTGGCAGCACTATCTCCCTGGCAACGGTGCTGAAGAGTGAGGTGCAGGTCCCCAGCATTCAGAAGGGATGTGCTCAGGAACATGGGGTGACATGAGGCAGATGGCTGGGCCCCCGCTGAATGGCGCCATACCCCTTGTTCAAACACAGGAGCCTGAGACAGGGTCGGGGTGGGGGGGCACACGCAAGTCCCCAGGGGGACACTGCCACCAAGGACACCCAGCCAAGAGTCAGGTACCAAACTCTGCAGCCTCAACAGTGCATCAGAGAACAAATGCTTCCCTGTGAAAAAGCATCATTCTGCTCCCCGCACCCAGATCACATCTGGGGCAATTGTTAAGAAGCCTATATGTATACGTATAGCTGATTCACTTTGTTATAAGGCAGAAACTAACATACCATTGTGAAGCAATTATACTCCAAGAAAGACGTTTAAAAAAAAAAAATTAATTAATTAAAAAGAAACCTAGAGTACCCAAGGCCCACGGCTCAGCGGCAGGGTGTCAGTTACCATGTCCTTTGATTGCACGGTCAGAGAATCCACACCCAAAGCAGGCTACTTGTGTCAAAAGCACGAGGCCATACAAGGTGCCAGATGGAATGTGGATAGCTCCACACTGAATGGCACCCCTCCAAGCCTGCATCCCCTTGACAGGTAAAGTGAAGAGTAGCCATCCTCAAAACTGGCAGAACTTCCAAAGACACAGGCTGCAAACAAAGCCCTTTTCCCCTGTACATTTGTAAGGCACCGAAAAACGTAGCTGAGGCATATATACTCTTACCCTGCCCCTGCTCGTACCACAGGACCCACCCTAAGCCAGTGAACTCCTGGCACAGGTGAGTAAAGCCCAGCAACCCTAGCAACAGGTCAGAGACCAGCCCCCAGCAACTCAGCTGGATCCTAAGCCCTTCCGGTCCAGTGGCCAATGCTTGGGGTCTCACTCCTCCCATGGCAGACAGGGCTAATCCAACACAGCTCTCACAGATACAGCCTCAGAATCCTTCTTAACACAGTGTTCCTGGAAAAAGCCACTAGTAGGCTAAAGATGGGATGTGAAAACAAAGGTAGCTGTCATCCTTATTGTCCGTCCTGCAGGACTTTGGATGGTCCACTGGCACCAGATGTGGAAGCCCAAGGAACCAGGCACATGTGGGCTTCTGGGGCTAGAATAAGACACCATCTCCAGCAGGGGAGAATAACCACCTCGGGGAACGCTTCTCAGAACAGCTTTGAACCCAAGTCACAAAAGGCCAACCACCCTGACCAAGAAGGCAGAGGAGAAGGGCGCCTTCCCCACTGGCACCACCTCCTGACAGCTCCCCGAGCCTTGCCCTGGTGCCCTGGCTGTGCCTGCCTCTCACCTGGATCTGCCCTTTGCCCATGATCTTGTCCACGATCTCGTTGTTGTCCTTGTTGACCTTGGTCTTGTCATAGCACTTCTCGTAGCACAAGATCCTCAGGGACTGAGACCCCTCCAGCTCAATCTCGAACTCCTGGGGAAAGACGGGACAGGGTCCTGAACCTCCAAAGCTGACCTGGCTTCCCAGTGGCTTCTCACCCCACCATTGCAAGGGTGAGAGAGGGTGAGGTGGGCCTGTGAGGACCACATCGTGAGGCCTGGCGCAGCGTCCTCATTCTCTGGAGATCCAGAAGCCTCCAAATCACTGAGGAAGTGGAGTTGAGGGCTTGAGCTGCAATGCCGTGTCTAGATACAAACCCGAGATCAGAGCCAGATGAGCAGGGCGGGGGTGGGCAGAGGGGTCAGAGGGACAGAGCTGGCCCAACAGCAGGCTTGGCTGTCCTGGACCAGCCAATAGAACATGAGCACCAGAAGTGGGATGGGCACGGTGGGGGACAAGCCCAGGGGTCCCCATGGGGACACCAGCCCCTCCACTCACCTCGTCCCACTTGGGCTCTGTTGTGTCCCGGAACACCCTGGTTTTGGCTTTGCTGACAAAGTAGCCAAAGGAATCCACCTCCAGGGTACAGTACAGGTCTGCGGGGGGACAGGCAGAGACACACCGAGTGAGGCCCGAGGCTCAGGAACCCGGGAGTGAAAGGGGGATCACTCATCGGTCCGCCCAGCATCCCCATGGGCGGTCTGCAAATCCACACACTCCCTCCCGGGCTCAGGCCCTGGCAGTCTTCCCCTCCATGGGTGGTGCCAAGGTTGTTTCCCAGGGTAATGGTGTGTGTTGGAGGGTGGCTTTGGGGTACTACAGCCAGTCCTCTGCAGTGTGAATCATGAGGCCAGGGGCAGAGGTCAGAGGATGGACGTAAGTACCCCTCCCAGGCCCCAGGAGCTGCCTAGCTGGGCCATCCTCCATCAGAAGGGCTTTCCTACAGAGGGGAGAGCGGGTATAGCCATCCCTGAGTTGCCTCTAACTGGGTGTGACAGAGACTAGATGTAACCGGGTATCCGAGCACGACAGGCTGTGAGCGCAGGTGAACAGGCGAATGATGCAGAAGGCCTGACGCACCCTGGCCTCCATCAGAGCAGAGACGCGTCAGGGTGGCTGAGAGATGGAGGGGCGTGAAGTGCCCCTTAACTGATTCTGCTATGAGTGAACGCTTTGTCAGGGGCCAGGGGATAGTTCCTGGGATAAAAGGAAGGGCTGTGCAGTCAGACTGTCCAGGTCAAATCCCAGCTCTGCACAAACCACCTACCCCTGTGCCTTACTGCCCTCATCTGTAAGTCAGGAATGATGACGGTGCCTGCACCCTAGGCCTAATGTAACGAGTTTACTATGACAAGAAGCCATGGCTGAAGATTCACCAGGCTTAACTCCCCGAGTCAGAATGAATGTCTGAGTGGGTCACGGGGCCGGTGGAAGGAGAAGGTGAGGACTGTCTGGAGGTGAGGGGAGACCCTGTAGCAGCACCTCACCCCATATCTGAGCACCCTGACCCAGTTTGAGAGGTAAAACCCCTGCTCTGGGGGAGTGGGGTGCCCCACCCCAATGGGCCTGCTCCCTGAGGCCCACCCCAGCCAAAAGGACGCAGAGAGACAGTAAGCACGAGACATCTGGGCACCAGGAGATGGGAGGGCCCTGGTCCAGCTCAGCGGGCTGCAGACTTGGGTGTGTGTCACAGTCCCAAGGAGCTGACTGACCAGGAATATTCCTGGGCCACCCCCTCGCCAGGGGATTCTGTGGGTGTGGGGAGGGTCCTGGAAGCTGTCGCATGTACCACCAGCACAGCCTGGAGTGATGAGAGTGGTGGTCCTGGCCATACTGAGAGAAGGGCTGCTCTAGAGGCAAAAACGTGGGCTTCAGTGTCAGAAGACATGGATTTGATGCCACCACCTGTGTGCCCTACTGGGCCACCTGGGAAAGTCCCTGGAGCCTGCTGGGCCTCAGCCTCTTTGTGTGCCAAGTGGGAATGGCATCAGTGACCTCAGAGGGATGCCAGGAGAATCAGAGCAGATGACGCACCTGAAAATGCTCTGAACGTGTCAAGCACTATCCACTCGCTGGCCACGTTTGCATTTTCTCCAGCATCTAGTAAGGGACCGAGGCACGCGGAAATAAACTACTTTGTTCAGCATTTCTGAGCTCCTGTTCATCCAAGGATTAAGGAGATGTGGTTTCTGCTCTCTACGAACTCATAGCAGGAGAGGCAAATTTTAAGTGACAAAACAGTACGACAGGTGCTGCCCTGGGGTGGTGGGAACACAGAGAGGGGAGGCAGATTTACTGCAGGAATTCAGGCTTCCCAGTGAATGTTTATTAAATGACTGTTTGCGAGCCAATGGCATAACCTCTCCATGGTGCACTGCAGGGAGAGAGGCAAAGGACAGATCTCATCCGCCAGAGGGGAAAAGAGGGAGTGAGAGGAGTCAGGAGCCCTGGGTTTCTGATCTCTCTGTGACTCAGTTTTCTCATCTGGCAAATGGGGAGAAACTATTAGCTGTCTAACTGACTCACAAATTCCTACAGGGAGAAAAATTAGATTAAAAATGGAACTGTATTTTGTGAAATACTAAGAACTGCACTGATGCAGTAGATGGTGATTTAGAAGGAAAAAGAAGTGTGTGTGGCAGTGTACTGCCACTACACATACAGGTCATATTTAAGCCTGCTCTTAGGTCTGTATTAACAAGCATGATTGCCTTTTATGGAGAAAGAAGCTAAGGCTCAGAGAGGTTAAGAGACTTGCCCAAGGTCACACAGCTTTTAATCGGCAGATGTGGGATTGGAGCCCCGTATTTCTGATACCTGGGGGTGGGGAAGGGCTTGGGGAAGAGCAGACCTTGGAGACAAAGGGCAGGGATGATCCCCTGCCAAGAGGAGCTGGTTCCTGGCCTTTGGGGGAATGCCCCACATCTCAAAGGAGCTGGCAGGGCCCCAGCCTGGGCAGACAAGAGCAGAGCAGGTGAGCAGTGGGAGGCCCTATGCAATGGGTCCACAGGGACTTTCTGTGAAAGGATGAACAATGGCCCACCCAGCCTCTTCCTGGGGCTGGTGGTCAGGGGTACTTACTGGCTGACTGTTTAAACCCCTTGGCAGAGTGGACGATGACATGGAGGAAGCCATAGAGTCCTGGAGACTCATCGTCTGCAAGAGAGAAAAGCCCCCAGGGAAGGGGGTGATGAGAGGCCTGCTTCTTTCCCTCCTCACCCCGGGGTTGGTTGGATGCAGAAAGGGCGGGAGACAGTCTGTGCCTTGGTCCGACAGCACCACCTGGTGGCCAGACGAAGAAGCTTCCACTGTCCACGGCTCCCTGGAATGTGAGCCAATGCTCCTTTCTCCCTCCACTCAGCCTGGGGGGCCAGTCCACACCTTCCTCCTGGGCCAGGGACTTCGTCCCATTTCCCACGGGTCCCTCCCCCATGAATCCTACCTATCCCCTGGCTGCCCGACTCAGCTTAGCCTTCCAAATTTGAAATTAACCAATATTAAGTCACTCTGTGCCAAGCAAAGAGGTCCAGCTCCGCCTCCTCTTTGGGACACACGGGGCAGATGACCCCCACTGTAAAGGAGAGCTTGCTTTCAAACCCCTCCCTTGCTCCAGAACCTCCCACAGGCTCCTCAGCTTGAACAATATACTCCCTTGTTTGGCATTCAAGGCCTTCTAAGATCGGATCCCTGGAAACTTTCAGCCGCATTTCTCATACACTACTCTCATCCACCTACCCTTCCCCTCCACCACCACCCTGCTCCATGAACTGGCTTCCATGAACTGACGACCTCAGGAACACATTAACAACACAATCCCAGTGCACCAGGGCGCCAGATCTTCTCTCCAGCCAGAGGTGGCCAGGGAGTAGTTGGGGCTGTCTGGAGACTCAGCAGAGAACAACCCCTACTCAAACTCTCTGTGAACCTGGCAGCTGAGTCTTCCCAGGCCAGCGGAGCAGAGATCAGCTATTTGTAGCCGAGTGTCTGGCTAGGCATTTGTGAAAGGCCCCAGCAATGCCCTGGGGGCTTGGACCTGCTGATTTGAGTAACCTTGGGTTCCAGATCTTACCGTCTTTATTGCTGGTGACAGGAATGTTGTGTACAGTCCTAAGTTTGAAACAGGATCCCGTGAGCACCTGGAGCTCCACTGAGCTCAGGACAAAGGCCTGGAGATCTGCAGGAGGAGACAAGACAGAGGGGAATGTCACCACAGGTCCACTAGGACCTACTGCTCTTCCTTGGGGGCTACTGCAGGAAAAAAGCTGAGCTCTAGGGGCAGAGTGGGTCACTGGCAGGGAGGGAGAGTAGACATTCAGCTGGGAATAGTCATGGGTGCTGCTGGAGGGGTAAGAATTGGAGGGTCTAACTAGAGAGGTTCACGAATGTGTGTACGAGACAACAAGAGCAAGAGACAGAGAGCTGGACAGCCCTGGGCTTTGGGTCAGTCCTATTGCTAATTCACCGTATGCCTTAAGCAAATCACCTGAATTCTTTGGGTCTCAATTGATCAGTAACGTCAATTAAGTGCCACCTGCCCTGGCACTTTACAGACTGATTGTGAGGGCTAAAGAGGAGACTTTGGACATGAACGTGCTTGGAAATGCAAAAGGCCCATTGTTGCCATGGACACCATCAGGGTAGCGTAGTTGGGGCACGGCTTTACCTTTCTTCTGTAGTTTCTGAATTGCTTCTCTCCACTCTGACCTCTCATAGTCTGAGGACAGTAGGAACAGGTAGCTCTGTAGAAAGGAGAAGAGAATTCAGTAGGATGACCAGAGTCAGGCCAAGGACATTTCTGGATCCTGGGGCCCACAGTGAAGCTCCTTTACCCAGGTACCCCTATGCTTGGAGAAGGGCAGCTAGGAGGAAGGCCTTCCTCCTAGGAAGCCTGGTGACAGGAGTGGCAGTGCCAGTGATGGCCAGCAGAGGGCACTGGCTCCCCACCAGCAGGGAGAGGGAGTCCAGGGCTGGAGCCATGGCAGCCTCCTTGGGAACTGGGGGCCTGAGTCCCTGATTCCCACGGGTCAGGGCCAGGAGCTATAGAGAGTGGGCAGCCCTGGACCGAGGAAGGGAACTGTCTCTGTTCCATCCCCACCCTTCTGACCTTTCCATTCCGATTGTGGATCCGAAATGGGATTGTGGGGGAATTGAGCAGCAGCAAGAACTCATTCTCAAACATCTTCTTTTTCAGGCGCTCGATGGCCCGGCTCTGTCCTTTGTTGGCTTTCTGCAGGGGACAGAGGGCACAGACGGTTCTCTTCACACTCAGACTCCACTTCTCACCCAGTAGCTCTATGTACAACATTCCCCTGTGTATTCATCATTTTTTTTCCCCTTTTCTATATTTTATGATGATTTGATGTCTTGGGGGGCGTAGCCAGCCACAGAGAAAACTGTTCCTCCCAGGACATGCTAAATCCTAAGCTAGTCAATGACTCTTCTGTGAGTGCGTCTCTCGTGTGCAGACCAATCAATCTTGAGTCCACACCTCCAACCATCTCCTTTAACAAACTCACACACAATCCAATACTTCCTCTGCCCTAGATAACCCAGGGCAACTAGACACCACTACTCTAGCCCAGAGCCTGCTGCCTTATTCAAACTAGCCAGTCCTAAGCTGTTTCCTGTGGAAAACACAATCCAGGCTCTGGGCCACGCACTCCCCACGCCCCTTCTGCCTCTTGACCGAACCTGGTGCTCTCCCATGTGGCACGCCCCCTTCTCTTGGAAACTGTAAGTAATAAAATAAATATAAGTAATAAAAATCTTCCAGTGGCATCAGCATCTCTGAGTTGTCACTCAGTCATCTCCATAAATTAAATCCCGGGTACCAATGAGACACCCTGCTTAAAAACTGCAGACACCTTTCAGCGTAACGACCCCACCTCTGGCCTCCCACACGGGGCCTCCCCTGGCTGCGTTCCAGCTTCCACGCCCAGCCGATGTCCCGTCACACGCCCCCTGCACCCTCCAGCCCAGCATCACGCTATTATTATCCCTGTTCTCTAACAAGCTGTTCCCCCTCAGCCAGTGTTCCCTTCTCCTCCAGTGTTTCAAGTTTATATTTTATAAAGGATCCCTTTCCTTTTATTAACTATCATCTTTCGTATCTCTGTTCCAACACCGTCCTCAAGCTCCAGTTAGAACGCATCTCTGAAGCACTTCTTTTTACCCACTAGACTGGCAAAATTGTGACAACTGCTCACAGCTGGTGCTGTGACAGTGTGGGGGAACAGTGACTGTGACACAGTGCTGGGGAGAACATGATCGGATGCAAACTTTTCAGACGTAAGTCTGGTAATGAAATGCACAAGCCCTCTGCCCCAGACATCCCACTTGTAGGGAATCTACCGGAGGGAAATATGAGTGCAGGTTAAAGAATGAGAAACGAGCTGAAGACTCAAATACGCTGTCACGTAGTCGAGCAACAGAAGAGGATGCAGCTGTTACAAAGGATCTGATAGATTAAACTGCAAAACAGCACGTGCAGTCTAATCTCATTAAAAAATACATACACACACACACACACACACACACACACACACACACACACGTATAAGCATAGAAGAGTCTAGAAGAATACACCTCAGACTGGTGATAATGGTGGGGTGATGATCAGTTCTACTCTATACACTTTGATATTGTGAGCATTTCTTGTTATAATAAGCTAGTGTTACATTGGTAATTAGAAAAATATTGTGTTTAAAAAATATTATTAAAGAATTAGGCTTCCCTGGTGGCGCAGTGGTTGAGTCCGCCTGCCGATGCAGGGGACGCGGGTTCGTGCCCCGATCCGGGAAGATCCCAAATGCTGCGGAGCAGCTGGGCCCGTGAGCCATGGCCGCTGAGCCTGCGCGTCCGGAGCCTGTGCTCCGCAACGGGAGAGGCCACAACAGTGAGAGGCCCGCGTACCGCAAAACGAAACAAAACTAAACAGAAAAAATATTATTATTGAATAAATCGCTGCTTCTTTTGTGACTCAGAGAACAACACTGTGCCTCTCCAGTGACTCTTATCATGTTGTGTCACATGCTGTGGTCACACACAGGAATGTCTTCATTCTCCACTGGATAAGGAGGTCTGTGAGGCATCTGGCACACCCCTGCAGCCAGCAGCCAGTAGAGGTGTGTAAGCATGGATTCAACTAAGCAGGAGGCCATGTCTGCACACCTGGGGAAGGATGGAGGGCACAAAGCCTGCTGCTCCCAGGACCAGGTGAGAAACATGCATGCAGGATGCCCCTGAAGTGGGGATGCTGGACAGAGCCTGATGGGGAAACAGGCTCCACCGAGGCAGGGTAAGCCTGGCTGTTCAGGAGGAGGACACCTGTGCTTGTCAGGGGGCTCCCTCTGGGCAGATGCACCCGCAGTCTGACCCTCAGCCCTAGGACATTCCCCTGAACCAAACATCCCTGGGGTTATTACTATGGTCTTCCTCTCCCCTGTTCAAAGAGAGATATCTAAGTTTAAAGAATCCTTAGAGGCCATTTGGTCATGTATTTCTCAACAACTGTTCCCAAAGCACCTATTTATTACGTGCTAAGTACTAGGGCATAGGACTGAAGAAAACAGCCCCCTCACTAGAGCTGAAATTCTAGTGGGGAAAAGAGAAAGCAGAGCATGCAATTTTAATTCAGTACCAACAAAGCAAAGCAGAGAGGTAAACGTCTGGAACCAGGAAGCTGGGCACCCAACCCAGACTGTAGCAGGCAGACATCAGGGAAGGGTCATCAGGTGAGGTTAGGCCTAAGGCCGAGCCTGGATGGGTGAAGAGGAGAGACCAGGCCAAGCAACCAAGCCCCTCCACGCTCT